ATACCGAGCTTTTTAGAAAAACTCGGTATTTTTTTGTATAACTCGATATTGCTCGGTATTACTCGGTATTGGTCTTTGCAGAGCGGTATTTCTCGCTATTACCAAACAATACCTAGCAATACCGACCAAATACCGAGCAAAAACCGAGTAACAATGAACGTAGATCTACATTCGGTCAGAGGACGTAATAAAAGTTCCTCAGAGGGAGAGGCCAACTACCCACTCATAAGAAATTCAGATGAAAAACTCATTGTAGGAGTCGAAGCTTAGACAGAAGCCGAGGTGGTAATAGGGAGCACAGGTTGCCGCAGGGCCATCCAAAGCAATAACAGGTTGCTCAAGGACCTCGTCGTCTGAAGGCACCTGGAAGAGCAAGTAGCATAATAACCATTCAGCAAAATTCCTGTGGTTGCCGTATGATCGCCACAGACAGAATGGTAAGTAGATGGCCATACTCATCATCTTCCAGGCGACCAAAAACACCATAGGAATCTCCAGGAAAAACATTAGAAGATATGCGTGAAACGATCCTTAAGCTTATCATAACATTTCCACCAAAAAGATTTGAGACTAATTGCATTTTTAATAGCCAATTGAATTAAGGAAGGGCTGTCCCAGATACCAGCAAAATGTTCATTATTCCTTTCCCTCCACAAATGATAAATTGTGTGGCTAACGATAAAAACAAAAAATTGTCCCTATTGTCTTAAACTGCTGCATATTATCCAAGCAATCAAAAGTTTGAAGCAGGTTTGGTCTGAAGAAAAAAAAAAAACGCTAAGAAAAGGTAAAAGAGCCGATATCACTAAATAAGAAAAATCACATTCAAAGAGCAAGTGTTTATGCATTTCTGGTGCAGAGAGACAGAATGAACAGGATGGCTAAACATTAATTAACTTCTTGAGAAGCAGATCAACACATTTCAACTTCTCAATAATAGCCATCCACGCATAAAAATAGAACCGAAGAGAATGGTTTTTATGCTAAATAAATTTATACTAGTGTACTTCCTCCTACAGAGAAAGATTTGCGTAATAAAATTCTTAAAAGAAGGGTTGAATGAGCCTTCCCAGGAAATCGTGGGTTGCTCATTAATATAGACTGTAAAGATTGCCACGCGGTCCTACTTAAGAAATGACTAAGGAAGCACCTATTGATTGTTCATAATATACTTATTAACAACCTGATGTATGATACGAGAAGGCAAGAAGAATTTGGATAAAGCTTGTCCGTTACACCATGGGTCCCAAAACATTGAATAGTTGCAGAGAGGAGCAATAAATAAAGAAATAGAATTCCTAATTTTGTGTGTGGTTGATCATGTTAATTTCCAAGCTTTGGAAGCATTAAGAGTAGGTGGCTTCCATGGTGAAATGTATTTAGCCCGATACGAGGAGCTAGCAATAGAATCTTGACTGTACAACTGCCAGATAAAGGACACCATAACGCCATGATAAAGAGATTATATAGAAGGAATACCCATCCCACGCAACCTGAGGCTTAGGAAGTGCAGTTGATTTCCAAGCGATTAAATGGAGCTTTTTGTCATTAATGATGCTGTGAAATAAGAACCTTAAGAATAATTTAGTGATAAATTTGCAGCAAGCCATACGTATAATGGATCCCCTAATCCAATATAAAATGGCGGTTGTAATAGTGAACACCCTACCTACAAAAGAGAGAAACCAAACTTTCTAACCAGTAAGTAGAGTAGAAATTTTACTCAAGAGCGGTTGGAAGTGAGATAAATATGATGTTTGGTGGACATAGAGAGCCTCAAATATTTGAGGGAAGAATCTACTTGGGAAATGCCAAGAATATTACGAATGTCAGTCATAGTAGGGCATTTTTGGAAAACATTATCAAGCTTCTATTGGGGTTGACATGAAGACCAGAAGCACCATTAAAATCTCATAGGGAGCTATTCAAGTAAGCTGCATTTTGAGAAAAAGCAATGTCAAAGACAAGCATATCATCCACATAAAGAAGATGATTTAAACAAATCCCAATGAAACTTAAGTCAGCGAAGGGCGTAGAGTGGGAAGGAGATTAAAGGTAGCAGGACATACCATCCATCACAATGCAGAAGAGCAAGGAGAGGGCGGGGGCAACCTTAACGGAGGCCATATCAAGATTTAAAGAACCCCTTGAGAAAACCATTAAGGCAGATGGAAAATTGCATGCCCGAAATGCAACCTTTAAACCATTTGATGAACAAATCAAGAAAGCCTTTTTGCTTCATTTTGTTGAGAAGAAAAACCCTGGAAACCAAATCAAAAGCCTTCATGATGTCAAGTTTAACACAAAATAAGTTCTGAGAAGAATTAAAATTCATAGAATACCTTCATAAAAGGTGTTCTTTGAAGCCAAGATAATATTATCAGTTTAATACTTTTTATGAATGAAACTAGCTTGACTATTATGAATAATGTGGGGTAAGATCGATTTAATCTTGTTTGCAATCAATTTGGCCACAATCTTATAAAAAAATATTGCATAGTGAGTTAGGTCTAAAATCAATAATATTGGAGGTATGAGAACACTTGTGAATTAAAGTGATAACAAAGGCTTTTACACCTTTTGGTAAGTGGTTAGTGTTGAAAATTTTCTTAACAGCATTACACACATGTAGCCCATTGGAATACCAAGAAATCTTATAGAACTTGAAGGTATAATCATTAGGATAGGGCATGATGGTAGATGGTCCAGCAAAAACCACATCCTTCAAAAGTCCGAGGAGTTTGTGAGACCTCAATGAACTAGCCTAAGGCGCACCAAGAGAGAAGTGAATTGATAATATAAAATTTACACAATAAAAAATACTGATATAATGATAATTTTTTTTCAAAATGATTTTAAAACTAATCCAAAATGAATACTTAAAAACTTTCAGAAGCAATTGAAAATTTAAAATACTTTTTCAAAACATGCAAGTTATTCTTTATGCAAGCAACAACCTATTCTAATTACACTTGATTATAAATATTAAAATTCATGCAATAAATTTAATTTACAAATAATAGAAAAATAAAATTGTAGAAAAGTAAGTGAGAAAATGAAAAAGTACACCATAAATTTTTATAGTAGTTCGGTCAACCTTGGCCTACATCTTGTTATAAACCGAGCTTCTGAGTTTATGAATTTGATGATAACAAATATTATTAATTACATTTTTATTTCTCCTAGTATTTGTATAGCATATTTATTTATGATTGACTAACATTTTAGGTACACCCACCATTCTTTGAAGATTCAGGGCTTAAGATTAGGTATAATAGGTTATGTTAAATGCGTATGTAATTTTTATTTATTTATTTTTAATTTCTTGAGTTAAGTCTTATATGGATATTTATTAGCCTGGTGATCGTGCACACACACACAAGGGGAGAAAAAATAATTTTAAATATTTTAATTTTTTGTACATCGTACTAAACGATATGGATTGTACTATATGATTTGGAGTTATAAAAATTAATTAAAATATTTTATTTTTTCTAGAAAAAAATACTTTTTATATATAACTAATTATGCAGTATGAACACCACATCATATTGGACGATCTGTTATAATTAGAAAGCCCGTAATCCATTAAATTAGGCAAAAATTTAAATATAAAATGTTGTTCTAATCACACTGTACGAACCTAATCATACTATACAATGTTTAAAATATTTCATAATGTAATCCTTTAATTAGTAAATCAAATATAGTTAATTTATATATTTTGATCATACTATACAAACTAGATTGTATTGTATGATCAATAGAGACAATTTTGGTCATCTCATGATTCATCATGGACGAACTGCATTTCAGTTGAACTATTCGTATTATATGATTGATCATTCGCATTGATGATTGTATAGTGTTAACAAGCAAATTGACCTGTTCGTGCTGATGATAATACAGTATGAAAAAGCAAATTAAATATTCGTACTATACTAAATGGTGATTGTATAGTACTAACATGTCAAATATGCACATCATATTGGATGATCCTACGATCGTACTACACGATCTTTGATGGCTGAATTAATTTTTTAGGAGTTTTTAAATCCTTCTATTTAAGCTTTCTTCAAAGACATTGTATGTGTCATTGGCATGCATTGAGTCTTTATTCTTTTGAAGAAAACTTGAAGAGAGAGCCTTAAAAGGGAGAAAGGAAAGGGTGGAGTTTGAGAGGAAGAAGATCTTTGTGGGGTTCAAGGGAGTGTGGAGGGGGTTTAACATGGTTGCTCAAGCAAGCTTACATCTTAGTACCATCAAATTCAAGGTTTGTCTTGAGGGAAATTTTGGGAAGAAGAAGATATCTTTATTGTCAAAGGACCCAGCTACTCCGCAACATCAGGGAAAGTAAAGTGACTCAAGGTTCTCTACCTCATTAGGAGAGTGAAAAGGAGTCCAAGTTCTCTGTATCACTGGGAGGGTGAAAAGAAGTCAAGGTCCTCTGCATGCGAAAGGAGTTTGATCCTCTACCACATCAGGTTGGTGGGAGAGAGTTTGTAAGGGCTTCTTCGCCTACCTATGGCGAATAAGAAGAGACACTGCAGTGATAATGCAATACCCAAAGTGGGTGACTCTGGGGAGTGGATGTAGGTCATGGTTAGACCGAATAACTATAAATTTGGTGTGTTCTTTTTTATTTTACTTTCTATAATTTATCTTTATGTAATTTATTTTCTATTATAACTACTTGGTTAAAAATCAGTGATTGATATTATGCTATATTGATTATATTATTATCACCATCTTTGCAACTTTTGATAAGTATACTAGCTTATACATCAAGTGATAGTATTACTTTTGTATTAGTGAGCCTTAGGGATAGTTCATTGAGGTCTTCAACATTCTCATACTTTTAAGTAGTATCAGAACGAGATTCAAAAATTAAGTTTTAGAAAACTTTTGAAAATAGATCAATGGCTAACATTGGAAATCATAACATTATGAAAGGAAATTCAATCACGTAACCACCTTTATTTGAAAATATTTCTTTTGATTTTTAAAAAAATTGTATGTCTATTTTCTTGAAATAAATTGATTATCAAATGTGGCATATGATTCAAATTGATTATTCTATACCATCATGCATTATAGATGGAGTCAAAATTAACATTCTTTTTACTAAATGGAATAGAAAAGAAAAATATAACGCTCAATTGAATGCTAAATCTTTGAATTGCTTTTTCTGTGCTTTAACTGAAGATTATATGATTATTTCTATCATCATCACTAGCAAGGAAGTTTAAGATAAATGAAGCATTACATATAAAGGTAGTAGTGAAGTCAAACAATCTAGATTAATATATTATTGCATGATTATGAACTTTTTCACATGAAACCTTATGAGACTATCTTATACATGTATATTAGGTTTACCCAGATTGTGATGTCATTACATGATTTAGGTAGATAACTTTTAAACTTTGAAAAGGTTAATAAAATTCTACATTCTCTACTTAATAAATTTGATTCCAAAGTTACAGCTATATGTGAATCAAAAGATTTGAATACTTATTCTATAGACAATCTAATAGGCTCACTCATTGCCTAAGAGCAAAGTGCGAGTCAAAGACTTGTAGATGCAGGTGATGAGAAGACTATAGTGTTAAAAGTCAAAGTCATAAATGAATGTGGCTTAGTAGATGATGAGAGTAAGGAGATAGCATTGATAACAAATAAATTCAAAATTCTATTGAAGCACATGCATAAGCATCAACAAAAGTGGATTATAGGTAATAATGGTAAAAATGTTAAGTTTTCTTCTAATGTTATTTGCTTTCGGTGTATGAAATCTGGACATCTGAAAGTTGAGTACCCCAACTTAAAAACTTTTCTTGCAAACTAAAAGAGTAAAAATAAGCCCATTGTAATATGTGGAAAAGATAAAAAAACAAAAAATCTCTTCGGCAGTCCTAACTTCTGAATCATCAAAACAGGAGGAGAACAATGAGGTATAATTAAGTATGTTAAGGTTTGTTTATATATTTTATTTATGTGTTTTGTGTGTTGGTTTATTTGTTTTGTGTGTTTTATTTTTATTATGTTTTAAGCATAATTTTATGTTTTCGTTTCTTTATTATGTTGTTATTTCTTCTGCGTGTATTTTAATTTAGGTGTTGTGTTATCTCTTTTTTTTTGATATTATCAAAGAGGGAGAATGTATTATGGTTGGTTGTATTTATGGTTTATTTTTATTTTTTTTTGTTATTTAGTTTTAAAAATTTATTTGTTAAAAAAGTAACATGTTTACCCCTATTTTTTAATGTAATTATTTTAGTGAGAGTGAGTTTAGTAGAAAATATTTTTAGTTTATAATTTTAACCATTAATATTTATCATCATAAAAAAGAGGAAGATTGTTGCAACTTGGGCTTCTGAGTTTATGATTTTGATGATAACAAATATTATTAATAACTTATTTATTTCTCATAGTATTTATAGAGTATATTTATTTGTGTGTTGACTAACAATTCATGTACATCATGCACCATTCTTTGAAGATTCAGGACTCAAGATTAAGTAAAATAGGTTATGTTAAATGAGTATATAATTTTCATTTATTTATTTTTAATTTTTTGTGTTAAGTACTATAAGGATATATGTTAGCCTGGTGATCATGCATACACATATAAGGGTAGTAAAATGATTTTAAATATTTTAATTTTTATGCACATCATACTTTATGATATGGATTATATTATATGATATGGTGTTATAAATATTAATTAAAATATTTTATTTTTTATTAAAAAATACTTTTTAAATATAACTAATCATACAATATGAAAACCACATCATATTGGATGATCTCTTATAATTAAAAAGCACGTCATCCATTAAATTAGACAAAATTTATAATTTGAAAAGTTATTCTAATCATACTATATAAACCTAATTATACTATACAATGTTTAAAATATTACATAATGTAATCCTGTGATTTGTCAATCAAATCTGGTTAATTTTGATCGTACTATACGAGCTAGATTTTATTATATGATCAATAGAGATGATTTTGATCATCCCATTATTCATCATGGATGAACTGTATTTTGGTTTAACTAATTGAACTATATAATTGGTCATTCATATTAATGATCGTACAATACTAATGGGCAAATTAAATTATTCATACTGATACTCATACTGATGATCGTACAATACAAACAGGTAAATTGACAATTCGTGCTATTT